CCCCCCCCCCCCCCCCGCCCATATTCCCTCCCAGAAGGGAAAACTGGTTCAAACACAGGCTATATACTTTTCTAAGTCTGTAATGCTAATGCTTCCTCTCTCCCACTCCCCATGCTTCCTTATGATCATGAACTTATCATGCCTATTCCCTGGACCTCCTTTCCCTTCTCCAGATAGCAAGGGTTAGCAAGTGGTTGAAAGGAGCTAGAGCTACTCATATCCACCATGACCCTGTTCTACCCCCTGCCTGTCTTTACTGCCCCTGGGGTTCTATCTTTTCCTTCTCCAGGGCACTCATGAAACTCGAGACTCCTTGCCTTTACTCTGCAGTACCATCTGAGATGATGAAAGGCCAGAGGTGAGACTTTTTATGAACTTAAAAATCACCCCAGATCTCTCCCTGGCCCCTGACTCTGGCTTCTTGCTGTGCATTCTTAGATTAGTACTCACATAAGGCAAGGTAGCTCAAGGGCCAATGAAGAAGTATGAGACTCTGGAAATGCTTAGGCTGCTTAAAACAAGGCATGATACCCAGGAGCCTGACAGAGGCGAAGATCCCAGAACAGTGTTCCAAACAAAGGTGCCACCAGCCTCTGGAAGCTCACTCAGTAGTGACTATGAGGCTTTTTACCTGCTCTCTTCCCGTCTTGTGCTGTCCCACACCTACCACCCGCTTCAGGGGCAGGCTCTGGAGTACTAAGGACTGCCCTATCAGATCTGAGCCCTGGCCTCTGCACATTTGCCCTTTGACTCTTTCTTCTGTGCTTATTGGGAAATCAGGATGGAGAAAGTTGAGGACTGCAATCTAGTCCTACTGACCCAGAAATCCAGAGAAGAAAAACACCTCTCACAGGCCACTTGGAGAGTACAGGGTTTGTGACCTCAGGGAGATGGCTGGTGGGAGGGGAACTCTGGAGGTTTGTGGGGGTGGGGAGCACCTGGGATTAGGTCTCTTTTGTAACTGACTGTTGACCTGAGGCAGCCTGGTTTGGGGCTGTCCCCTCTTTTAACTTTCTATTATAAAAATTTCCAAACACACACAAAACTAGAGAAAGAAAGAAATTTTCATCTTTGTGTTCATCTTCATACTATTAATATTTTGCCATACTTGTTTCATTTATCTCCTCACTTTCTTTTTTTCTTGGAGTGTTTTTAAGAAATTCTAAGGCATGTCATTTCATTCCTAAATACTTCACCATGCATCAACAAAAATATGGATTTTTCTTCCATAATAACAGTGCCACTATCAGCCTTAACAAATTTTTTTATTGTAAAATAAAACTCAAATACAAAAAACTACCTAAAACAAATGTATAGCTTAATGAATTATTATAAGATAAACACCTTGCAGCCACCACTAGGTAAAGAAAGACAATGTTTCCACCCACTCCAGAAGCCTCCCCTGTGCCCCATTTCAATCACAACCCTCTTTCTTCTCCCAAACTAACCATTATCTTGACATTTAGAGTAATTTTTCCTTGCCTTTCTATGGTTTTATTACCCAAATGTACTTCCCTAATGACTATGGTTTAGTCTTGCCCATAAAAATAGATATGTCCCTTAAATTTTCTATTTTAAATTTTTTTATTTTGGAATAATTTTAGATTTATGGGAGAGTTCAAAGATAATATAGAGAGTTCCCTATACCCTTCACCTAGCTTCCCCTTGTTAACATCTTAAATAACCATCGTATAGCTATCACAGATTATTTATCCCTATACAGATTATCTGTTGAAGAACCCATGGCATTTGACCTGGAGAATTGCCCACAGCCTGGATTTTGTTTACTGCATGCTCATGGTGCACTTCAGCAGGTTCCTGGGGATTTCCAGTAGATTGGTAGTTGGATTCAAAGACTAGATTGGACTCAGGTTTCAGCCCTTTGGTAAGATCTTTATTTGCTTTATTTTCTTTCTTTCTTTCTTTCTTTCTTTCTTTCTTTCTTTCTTTCTTTCTTTCTTTCTTTCTTTCTTTCTTTTTTTTTTTCTTTCTTTCTTTCTTCCTTCCTTCCTTCCTTCCTTCCTTCCTTCCTTCCTTCCTTTCTTTCTTTCTTTCTTTCTTTCTTTCTTTCTTTCTTTCGTGTGTCTGTGTGTGTGTGTGTGTTAACTCTCACCTGAAGACTTCTTTCCCATTAATTTTTAGAGAGAGTAGAGGGAGGGTGGGAGAGAGAGAAACATCAATGTGAGAGAGACACATTGATTGGTTGCCTCCTGAACTTGCCCCAATTGGGGTTGGGGATCTAATCTGCAACCCAGGTATGTGCCCTTGACCTGGAATCGAACCCACAACCCTTCGGTGCATGGGCCGATCCTCTAAGGGCCAGAGCTTTATTTGCTTTTAATACAGAACAATCCCCCTTCCTACCAGCTATTTTTTTCATCATGCCATTGACCTATTGAAAACTGTTCTCACTTGGAGTAAGCCAGTCTTCCAGACTTCAGCACCAGCTCTCATGAGCAGGGGTGGGAGTGTGGAACCTAGTTCCTGGGTGAGTCCCAAATGCAGGCCAAAGTGGGAGGGGGAAAAGGAAGCCTCATATCTTTCTCTGACTCCTGTCTCTTACCTTGTAACTTTATGCTCACTGAAGCGAGTAGGGTTGTGGGGTTGATTTCTGTTTATATTTTTTAATATATTTTTATTAATTTCAGAGAGGAAGGGAGAGGGAGAGATAGAAACATTAATGATGAGAGAGAATCATTAATTGGCTGCCTCCTGCACGCCCCACACTGGGGATCGAGCCCACAACCTGGGCATGTGCCCTTGACCGGAATTGGACCCCAAACACCTCAGTCCACAGGCCGATGTTCTATACACTGAGCCAAACCAGCTAGGGCTTCTGTTTATGTTTTTAAAAATATATATTTTATTGATTTTAGAGAGGAAGGGAGAGGGAGAGAGAGATAGAAACATCAATGATGAGAGAGAATAATTGATTGGCTGCCACCTGCACGCCCCCTACTGGGGATCAAGCCCCCAACCCAGGCATGTGCCCTTGGCTGTAATCAAACCTGGGACCACCCTTCAGTCCACAGGCCAATGCTCTATCCATTGAGCCAAACCAGCTAGGGCTGTTTATGTTTTTTTGGTGGGGTTTTTTGTTTGTTTGCTTTTGATTTTCACACCTGAAGACTATGCTTCTAAAGGTATTAGGACCACATTTTATTATCAGTGCATCTGCCCCCAATGCCTGGAAAGTCTAGGTCCTCAGTAAGTATCTTAGTTTGAGGTCAGTGATCAGGATGGTTTTTTATGGGTAATGTGATCACAGGAGTTCTTTGGAGAAGTGTGTCCTAGAGACTTTGCATAGGGGAGAAGAGGCTGCCCAGAAATAGAGGGCAAGGGACACATTACAAAAGGAAAGAAGAACGAGAGAAAGGAAGGCAGGTGCTAACCTTTGAGTCAGTTTGGCAAAAGACAAAATTCTGCTTCCTTTGCCTCCTCTATACCTGGGGGCCTGCCCCACTCCAGGTGATTTTGCTGATTGGATGCTAGCCTGGCCCTCCAGCAAATGTCAGCTCTCAGGTATTGCAGCATCTCCACCCTACTTAACTGTTGATAATTCCTGTGGTTGAGGTTGGAGACTAGCCCCTGGCTATACAGGGGAGATTAGCATTCTGTCTTTTCATGATAGAATTTTCTGCGTCTACATCAACTCCCTCTCCATTCTCTCTCATCCTTGTAAATTGTCTTCTCCTGGATTAACTTTCAATAATGTGTGCTTTTTCAGTTTTCCCCTCTATTTCTTCCTGCCCCCAACCCATAAAAAGGAAGTAAACTGTTGAGAAGACACTAAAACTACAGAAAGTTGATCTATACATACAGTTTTTCCTCTTAGTAGCAGGTCCCATCCCTTGCTTTTGTATTTGAATGCTTAAAATGTCACAGACTTCCACATGATAATAGTTGTATTTTTAATACCTTTTGATTGATAAATTTATAATGAACTCAAGGACTATGGGTACACATCATGGCAGTATACATCATGACATTTGAAAAAAAACCTACATAGAAGCACATTATGTATTCCTTCTAGATAGTGCTTGGGCCATGTAGGAATTTCCAGAACCCTTGTAATAAAGTTACCCCCCGCCCCCATTTGCCAGCAGTTTTCTGCCTACAGATTGGAAACAATGGCTTGTTTGCTTTTTTCAAATGGAAATTGATTTATTGTTTTTTTCTGATTATAAAAATAATCCATGTAAATCATGAAAATGTCAGACTACTCAAGAAAGCATAAAGGGAACAAAAGTCACTCATAATCTCACTACCCAGAAATAAACAGTTAACTGTCAACATCCTGGTATCTATCTTTCTTCACTTTTTTTCTGTACAAATATAGACATAGATACAGTTCATTGTGAAGAGTTTGGGCTCTTGACTTCAACACATCTAGGTTTGTATATCAGCTCTGCCACTTAAGTGAATGATGGCAAATTAATTCTTAGTGCCTCAGTTTCCTTATCTGTAGAAGAATTAGTATAATACCTATGTACATCACAAGGTTGTCATGAGGATAAAGTAATTAATGTAAGACATTACTTAATGCCTTGCTCATATATATGTTCATATTTGTTAGTTATTATGTACAACTTATTAACCAAACTAGAATCACATTATACTGTTTTGTGTCCTGATTTTTCACCTAATGGTACACCGTGGATATTTTTTATGTCAATTTTCTTCTATAACATTATACAGAGCATTTCATTGTGTGGGTATGCCATGATTCATTTAACCAATCTCCTATTATAGAGGAAGCACTAATTTTTAGGCATACCTGTTCCATCAACTGATCAGATTTCTAGGTCTTTTGATGGTAGGTGAAAAGTCACTGATCAGAAACCCTCTTACCCACAGCCCTTTCTGTGACACTGCTCAATTTCCTCTCTCCCAGAAGGTTTTAGGATTTATTGGTGCAGAAAGTTGGACACTTCCTCAAGCCTCCATTAGCCTGAGTAGGGTCCAGGAACCAGATAGCCTGGTCAGCAGAATTGGCCTGTCCTTCTGAGGAGATGACTGGGTCTAAAGAAAGAGATTGAGTCTCTTATTCAAACAGGTCTGGAAACAAATTTCTTCATGAAGACCCCCAAAATCCTACTAGACCTGGCAAGGCTGCTGCATAGATTCACCTCAGCTCAAGTTATGTGGGAATGTTCAAATGCAAGTTAAGTCCAGGACTGAGCTGAAGTGTGAAAAATGAGACTTGTTAGCTTTAGATCACTGAGATCCGCCTGTACCTTGGAAAAACTAGGGTAAGATGTTAGGTTTAACCGAAGAAAGGCACCAGAGTCCAAATTAAAAGCAGAATGCACTGTTTATTCACGAGGCAGATGCTTTCGGGTGAGGTCCCGTGGTCCGTGAGCACGGGCTGGGGGAGTCACACCCGCCTATGCCTGACAGAGCTTCTTTATGCTACTGTTGGACCAATCAGGTTTATCTGAGGTAGCTTGTGGCAGGTGATTTATGAGCGGGAAGTTTGTACATCTGCACCCTGGCCATCCTGATAAGTCTCGAGTGGTCATTCATTGTCCAACGGGATGTTAACAGGATGTTAGCACCGC